CTTAAAGGGGTCATAGGATGCTACATGCACTTTTACAAGTTGTTTGAACTGAAATGTGTGTTGGCAGTGTGTGTACACAACCACCCTATAATGATAAAAATCCACCCAGTGGTTTTTTTTTTATCTGGTTAAATGTTTTCCCCTTTCTCAAATCGAGCCGATCTCAGATGCTTGTCTGTGTGACGTCACACAGACAGGCCCCTCCCATGATAGTTTGATTGACAGAAGCGTTTCAGCACAGACTGGACTGGTGTCTTACCTTAGACCCGCCCTGAGTGAGCTGTCATCAGTCTGCCATTGTTTCATGTAGACCAGAATGACTCCTAAGCGATTGAGGTGTTTTGTTGTTGGATGTAATAATGAACATGTCGTCATTTACTCCCTACATCTGAGCCGCTGAACTCGCAGTGGATTACATTGTTTCTGAAGGGAATGCGTCCCCGATCTACATAAATGCGTCTATGTTCGTGCGAATCATTCATGATCCAGCCTCATCTACAGAAGAAGTGAGTATAATGTTTTGTAATGAATCTTTGCAAATCGCCTTTCCTAATAATGTGCTAATTAGCAAGATTCACGATGAATGTGGCTAAAGTAAACAGTCTCTGAGAGCAACTTGGAAGAGAGGGGCGGGGTCAGCAGAGCTCATTAACATTTAAAGGAAAATGCTACAAAAATGGCTTGATCCGAAAAGAGCTGTTTTTGACAGGGTAAAAAAAGGTGTTTTTACACTACCATTGAGAAATTTTAACCAAACTATGTTACAGACTTTTCATTAAGACCCTAAAGAATCATATCAACTTGTGGAAAATGGGCATCCTATGACCCCTTTAAGCTCTTCTACATTGAACGTCTATGTAAATACTTCATAAACAGACTTTACTGATGGTTGTCACTTTAAGTTAAGTTAATCGATTTTCTATGGAATCAGTCGACTCAAATCTACAGACTGGCTCTGACCTTTGGCAACTAATTTTAGCGGCATCTAGTGGTGAGGTTGTGAATTGCAACCAGCGGCTCAGTCCCCCACTCACCCCTCCTTTTAGAGAAGCTACGGTGGCCTACACAGGTAAAGATGTTGTCGGTAAAGACAGCAGAGACCAATGAGATTTCTTTACAAAGGTATATTAAGGTATAAAATTATATTTACTTAATCATTCAATAAATCGATGTTGTTGCGAATGTTAATGTACTTGTTCATCATTGTGTCAGTGTTTTATTGGCAAGAACAACAAAGTGACGAAACGCGCTCTGTAGAGCAGTTTTTCCGTTTAGGGCTACTGTAGAAACATGGTGGCGACTTCCATGTAAGGGGACCATTGGCTACAAGTTTGTTTTGCTAGTCGGCCCGAATCAGTTTTCTAAATCGTTTTTGAAAAATCGCTTACCCCACCTTTAATTGTTGTGTGATTCTTGTTGTAGAAACACGGCAGTGATCTGGACGTGATGGCTGTGTGGCTGAAGAACGCTTGCCTGCTGAAAGACCTGCTCAACCAGCACTCTCCCCGCCAGGTCACACATCTGAACTTAAACAATTACTTTATTTCTTATGCAGAAATGACTTCACATAGAAATCTACCTCTTCTCCTGCAGGACATGAGGGGTTCAGAGGAGCTGGTGCCTCTGGTGACGGACGTGCAGGAGTCTGTCCGGGCGCTCAGTGATCTGTGTATTCAGGCCTATCAGCAGCTGCTGTCCATCTCTGAGAGTCGCCTGCAACCCATCATTGGTACAGTATGACCAATGCCCTTGTAGTAATATTTATTTATATAAAAATAAAAAATTATATCTTATTATAGACATACACGCACAACACACACATTTAGTCTTGATAAACCTTCCCTTTTCCCTAAGTGTTTATATACATATTCTTTATATTAACAAATATTATATATATCTATATATATCATACTAATATAATATATTTTAATATAACATTTACTTTAATATATTTATATACGTATATAATATACATAAAACACATAATGTAATTGATTATATGAACTTAATTTTAATATACATATACAAACATATATATACATATACTTTTTTAAATATTAACAAATTATAAAAAAATACATTTTAAATATAGCATTATGTAATTATACATATGTAATTTTACTACATTATTCATACTTTATTACATATTTCATTATATTTATATACATGTATAATATAAATTAAACACATTTCATACATTTTTTTAATATATGTATAATTTAATGAAAGTGAAAGTGACAGTGAAAAAGTGAAAGTGACGTGACATGTGGCCAAGTATGGTTACCCATACTAGGAATTAGTGCTCTGCGTTTAACCCATCCTATTTCTATATCTGTATGTTTATATAAATAAATAAATATTATACACACACACACACACATATATATATAAATATAATATTATTAACATATTATTTAATTATAATAAATTTATATAAATATATAATCAATTCTATGTATATAGTGAAAATAAAAAATATAACGTGTGTGCTTGTGTACCCATCTCTTGATTTTAGTTCCAGCAATGCTTGAAAGTGAGACCATTCCTGGTCTGGCTGGATCATCAGTAAAGCTGAGTGCCGGTCGTAAGCGTGCGGGATCAGATCTCCGACCTTTAGCCAGTACGGAGGGAGCGACTATGTCAGCGGTCCTGAGGGAACTGTCAGTGCTGCACACAGCCCTGTCCCGTCAGGATCTGCCCTCGGCCCTGCAGGAGCAAGCCTTCCATCAGCTCATGTACCTGCTGGCCGCCACCACCCTCAACAGCCTGCTGCTGCGCAAAGACATGTGCTGCTGGAACCGCGGCCTGCAGATCAGGTCAGAACTGCTTTCGCTTCGGTTACTTAAACATCTGCTTGAGTGAGTTGAAGTGGATATTTATATCCGTATATTCTAGGTATAATGTGAGTTTACTGGAGGAGTGGCTGCGCAGTCGTTCGCTGCAGACAGGGGGCGCTGTGACCACGCTGGAGCCGCTCATACAAGCAGCACAGCTTCTTCAAATGAGCAAGAAGACTGAAGCTGATGGACAAGCCATGGTCCAAGCCTGCAATGAACTGTCCAACCAGCAGGTGGCGCACCTGTTATAAAAGTTACATGTCAGGCAAAATAAAATCACATTTTTTCTTGATAAATATTATTTTTATTATAAACAAAATTGATTTTTAAATGTTTTTTTTTTTACATTATATAAATTGTGTATATATAATTTAATGTATTAATTTAATTATATTGAATATAATTATATTTGTATACTAGAATACATTTTTGCCTTGGCAAACCTCAAGTTTATAATATATATTATATAATTTATAACCTTCATTATAATATATTTATAGACATATATAATAATATAATATGCACAGCTTGTAGAAAAATACAATTTATTTAACAATTTATTTACAATTAATTTATTTTAAATATACACATTTGTAATTTTACTTTAACAACAAATTAAATATAATATAAATAAAATTATATATAAATTGTGTATATATAATTTAATGTATTAATTTAATTATATTGAATATAATTATATTTGTATACTAGAATACATTTTTGCCTTGGCAAACCTCAAGTTTATAATATATATTATATAATTTATAACCTTCATTATAATATATTTATAGACATATATAATAATATAATATGCGCTGATGGACAAGCCATGGTCCAAGCCTGCAATGCACTGTCCAACCAGCAGGTGGCGTGCCTGTTATTACAGTTACATGTCAGGCAAAATAAAATCAATTTTAGTCTTTTATTCTTTTTTTCAAAATATTTTTTCCATCTATCTATCTGTCTATAAAATAATATATATATATATATATATATATAAAATAAATTATATACATATCAAATATAATTTGATATACCTGCTGGTTGTATATATAAACATATTTATATATACACAAATTGTGTAAATATACACACACACAAATTATAAATTAAATATACAAATATAGAGGTGTGTGTGTGTCTATGTACGAAATTTAATTTGAATATACATATAAATTATATATGCACAATTTTATGTTGGCACGCTAATTTTCTAAATGTGTGTTGCAGGTTGTGAAGATTTTAAGCCTCTATACACCTCAGAGTGACCTTGAGGAGAGAGTAACACTCAATTTCATCCGTATAGTGCAGGTAAGTGCAAAAGCATTTAACCGTGAGCTCTATAAAACTATATTATAGCAGGGTTTTGTCCAGCAGTGATTTCTGTGGGGTTTCCCAGGGGCTGCTGAAGGGGCGTTCTGAGGGGCAACCTCCACAGCTTCTGATGGATGTCAGACGGGTATTCCCCGTCATGTTCCCTTATCTGCCGCCACCGCAAGTCAGTGCCGCCCAGCTCGAAATCCCAGAGTCCCTCAAGATCTCCTTCCTACGCAGAGTCTGATGTGGGTGTTCCTTTACCTCCTGAAATGCATTTGTTTTTTTTTGCCTTTGTTGTCTTACATCATTTTAAAATGACATCTAGGCATTTTGTGTATGTCATGCTAATTTTAGGCACATTTTAAATGTAGAATTATGTTAGCTTGACAAACCCAAAATATTATCTATTCCTCCCTCATATTTCTCCCTCCTTTAAAAACACTAAATTCAAATTTGAAATATAAAAATTTTAAACTTACATGTCAGGCCAAATAAAATCAAATTCTATCTTGATGTACCACCCTAATTTTTTCCATTTTTATTAAATATAATATGTCATTAAAAAAAAAACTCTTATCTATCTATCTATCTGTCTATACCATGTTTAATAGAAACCATCAAAAAATCCATTACACACTGCATTTTTTAACCATTTATTGGAGGTAGAAACAAACCAAGGCTGGCATGTGTTTTACCTCCATCCCCGATAAGAACGATCATATTTAGAAAAAAAAGAAAAAAGAAAATTAGAAACATCTTTGTATAAAAAAATCTCTCATGCTAGTACTCTGTACCACTACACATCAGTAATACATATTTATATATTCACAAGCCTTCCAAAAATAGAAAATAATACCCAAATACCAAAATAAATGACAAATCAAGAGAAATAAAGACAACAATTGAATATCACATCAAAGATACATGCTGGCACAAAGAAGAATCTTTCCCAACATGCACTGCTTCTTATTTACAGGCAAGGAGTCGCTGTTTGGGTGCATGTCGAGTTATTGGGATCCATGTGCACTTGTGTCTGCGTGTGCTTTGTCTCGTACTACATGCTCACGACTGTATCCTGTAATATTATTATTCACAAACAGCAACACACAGCTTTAATATTTTAAATCCTATCATCCAAATTAAAGTATTATCTTGCTACAGATTCTATTTTCCACTCTGCAGTCAATTCAACATTCATTAACGCATTTCCTGCGGCCGAACCCCAGTGTTCAATATCACAACGGTGAACATAAAAGGATTCAGTCTGTAAAACAAAACAACAGCGAAGTTTGCAGCTTCAGTTCGTGCTGAGCGTTCGCGATGTAAACAATCCAAGGCTGTTGATCACTGATGACTTCAATAGAACAGATGCATAGACTATTTTCAGAGAAATAATAAGGGGAAACATCCAAAAATAGCTGTAGCGCAAAGTGCTTAATTGCTAAATTCAATATAGATAACATCACCTCAGATTTTCATAAGTAGATCCATAGCACGGCTAGTTTTTGTCAGTCACGGTTTAGCGCAATACAGCTGGGAATGAATGGATATACAGTGCTTAACCCACATTATAGAGCATCTCTCTTGTGCTTTTCTAATATGGTGGATGGTTTGGCAGTAAAATGGCAGGATTGATCAACGGTTACTATGGCAACTCTATAGGAGCGATTCTCAATGGCTGTGAGGTGTGAAACTAGTGAGTGGGTAAAAAAGTTCCATTTTGCATGGAATGATCTGAAGCAAAATGTCATTTAAACATGATGTTATAAAGTGAATTTTTACTGAAACAGGCAGCTCTGGTGTCTAATACAAGCAGTGTTTGTCAATCTAGACTTGCACATATACATCGTATAAACCGTAGTGCCTTATGCTGACAAACACCGGATAAACCGCACAGGCACTCGTACTTGAACATGAACAGATGGGAAAACATACACAAAGACAGGACAGACGTGGCCCTGTGATTGAATCTAGATGTGCGAAGCATCTTTACAAAGTCTAAGTATCTTATATTCTTACAATGAGTAGAATTTGTAGGATTTCCCCAAAAAAATAATTTCAAATGTTTTCATACTACATGAAAAAGCAACCACTCTGCGTTCAGAGGTGTATTTGGTTGTAGGTCTATTTTTCGTAATTTTTTTGTGCTTCTAAACGATTGCATAACATTAAAGTCTGACCCATAGGGGGTTTTGGTCCCTATTAAGGAGGTTAGGGGGTGAAATGGTTGTACATAGTGGAGACACCATACCCTGACATTAAGGCACCCTTTGAAGGGTGCAGGAATGATTGACAAAAGGCCACACGAAAGAGGTTTGACATCATTACAGATCGCTGGATATGGAAGAAAAAAAAAAGTGTACGAAAAAATCATGGCATTATGTAGCACTCTGTCATGTTTACATGCCTTAATCTGGATTTATTTCACAGATGCGTTTGAAAAAAAAAGAAAGAATATAAATAGAATATAAATATATCTTTAATATAACTACTGTATTTTATTATTAGTAGTATTATTTTAAATATATTATTATAAATAATATTTTCTGGATTTATATTTTGAGACCTGTGCATTGATAGTGATATTTAATGTTTTGCAGAATAAATAGATAAATATGTGTTGTATGTAAGTACCTTTTGGCAGATTTTTGTCTTGGAATATGCATTATAAAAATCAAAGACATCACAAACATCAAGTATTTAAGAGATACAATATCCTGTGTCAGTTTCATGTGCCAAATTGTGCTTGTTAAACAAGCCCTTCCTGGCAATTCTAATGGCAGTGCACTGAGTACAAATATATATATAACTGCTTTGTCATGTAAACGGTTGGCCATTAAAGTGAAGAACCGAGATAAATATGTCTTATGTATTTTTTTTCTATGCGCTAGTGCAACATTTGAACATCAGGGGGCAGTGTTTACGCCAAAGTTACCATGCCTCGCTAGCTACTTCCTGGTCTTAGCTCCGCCCCTCCTCAGCAGAGCGCTGGTCAGATTTGAGCTTGACAAATTCTTTCGCGACGTCGTCGTTGTTGCGCTGGGACAGGATCCGCAGTACGGTCAGGCCCGTTTCGTCCATGTGAATGCGTTTACCTAGCGGTAGCCAGCACGCTACGCTACCCCGCGGTGCTACGTCCTTCAGCTGCAGTACTGCCATGCCAACGGTGCGGTCCTCTCGCGCAAAGCAGTAGTCTTTCACGCACACCTGCAGCTCGTAGCACTCCGGACCCACTTCGTTACTCAATGTGCTTTGAAAAAGAAGCAGGATTACATTTTATTGAGGAACTGGTACGTAGATTGGGGCTATGCAGAAACTAAAATGCAAGCTAAAGAAACAAGTGCATGTCACTCACAATGTAAAGGTCTCGTTGTATTTGGGAGCCCAGCTGTTGTTCTTGGACTTGGTGGCGTACTTTCTCTTCTTATCACTGAGATGAGGGCCAATGATGTAGACCTCCACGAAAGGCCGGAAAATTCCAGAGGTCTGCCACCGTAGGTCATTCGCAGCCACCACTAACAGAAAATAAAAGTTGTTTCATTTCCCTTCCCTTTACTTGCGTCCCATTACGATGCAGAAATGAAGCTACTTGAGAGACCATTTGGGGTTCCTTTGACAACCACATTATAAGAACCCTCCATTGTCAGAAGAAAATGCACAAAAATTGTACATTTAGGGGTACACCAGCTTGTCATTGAGGCAGTACCTTCAATCTTTGTACCTTATTTAACCCTAAAAGGTTCATACCAGAACCTTCAGGGTACATATTATGACTCTAATATGCACCTTTTAGAGGTAGATAAGGTACAAAGTTTAAGGGTACTACCCCAGTGACAAGCTGTTGTACTCCAAAGGTACAATTTTTGTACATTTCTTCTGACAGTGTTGAGAGCCTCTAGGCACCCTTTGGGAAGTTCTGCAAAATGGAGCCCATAAGTACAGTACATGCAAGAACTCTAAAGAACGTCAGCGGTTCTTCCCATGTTGGAAAGGTTTTGAGGCACCTGACAAGGGTTCCTAGAGCTTTTCAAGAGGGTTCTGCTAGTGGGGTGATCTAAGGAACCAAAATGGAGCTCCCCTTGACATTCTTCCCATTACACTGCAAAAAATCTAACTACTTGAGGGCATTTGGGGTTCATTAGATTGGCACACGTAGATTAGAAAATACTTGGAGAACCTCTTGACACCCTTTTAATAAGGAAGTTCTTGAAAGAAATGGAACTCATAAGAACACGAAAAATTGTCAATGGTTTTCCAGTAACCCCATTATATTGTAAAAAAGCTTTAGGCACTTGACAATGGTTCCTAAACGTTTTCCAGCAGGTTCTGATCTAAGGGTGTTTTCACACCTGTAGATCGATTGCTTTGTTCCAAAACAGGGATTAAAATTATAACAATGTTGCTTTTTATTCTTGGTGCGGTTCGCTTTCACACGGCAAAGTTTCTAAATGGACCAAATTTGTTAATACAAGTCACGCGCGAGTAAACTGTTCTCTCATTGGTCAAAGTTTCACGGTTTATTTTCCGGGATTCCACTTAGCGGTCACAGCTGTCATCTGTCAGAATGGAACAATAACAGCTTTGCGGGCTTATTGTTGGGTTTTTTGTAGCTGTCGTTAATAATAATTTATCATTTTGAGCAGGAGTCCAGGATTGATTGGGAAAACATTTTTAAAATGCACTCTCTCATTGGTCAAAGTTTCACGGTTTATTTTCCGGGATTCCACTTAGCTGTCACGGCTGTCATTCGTCAGGATGGAACGATCTTTTTTTTTTTTGTAGCTGTCCTTATATTAATTTATCATTTTAGTCATTTTAGAGTTCATCGGGAAAACATTTTTAAAATGCACCTACTAGGAAGAAGAGCAATAAGACGGCATTATAAAATGAAAAAGTGCGCTTTTTTATTTTGAATGGCGAAGACGTGCTCACCCACAGACAATTACAGGTTCATTTTGAAGTATTAGCAAAACAACAAAGCTAATGCTTTTCACGGAACTTACGTAATTACCCATTATACATTGTGATATAGCCTGGTGCGTTGGTCCGTTAGATCGGATTGCTTTCTCACTACAACCGAACCGCTCCAGAGTTCGTTTTCAATCGAGCAGAGACCACCTCGTTCAGGCGATCTCGGACTGATTGTTTTGGCGCGGATCCGGGCGCGATTGCCGTGTTCACATATGCCCAAACGAACCGAGCTAAGGGGGGAAACGCGCCAGGTTCCCAAACAACGATCCAGGTGTGAAAGCACCCTAAGAAACCTAAATAGTGTCTCATATACCTTTTCATTTTCACTGGCTTCCCTTGACATTCCCCGTTACATTGCAAAAATTAAGCTACTTGAGGGAAGATTGGCACACTAAAAGAACATCTAAACCAGCGGTTCTCAATTTCAGTCCTCGCGACTCTTCTTGGATTCTTGGAAGAACTTTAAAGACATCAGCAGTTCCTCCAGGAACCCCATTGTAAATGCGTAGAGGTTCTCCAAAGAATTCCACCAGTGAGTTTCACCCA